AAAGTTCTTCTGTACATATCAGTTGATAGTGACATGTTTATGGCTTATCTCTACAAAAGTTAACCAGAATAACCTCACTCTTTGGTGAAGAATGTGTGGCTATATCGTTTTGTTCACACACGAATAAAAATTCTGTCATCAATTACTCACCCTTATGCCATTCTAAACTTTCGTTTGTTTTCGAAACACAAATGAAAATATTTTTAATGAATCCTGAGAGAATATTGTGTTCTTTCATTTGGAAATTAATGGTTTGGAAGTTGGAACAACAACGTTTATTTTATTTTTTGGGGTACACTATCCCTTTAAGGAAACTGGATAGACAGCTTTACTGTACACAAAATTACATTTAAGGGATATGTTTTATGATTATATGTGTTCCCTGGTATTAAAACTCACCCATCTAGAGAAAAATCCTAACCTGTGGCATCCGTGGCTGTGATATCCACACCATGATTAAGAATGAGATTCAGGCAGTCGAGATGTCCTCTGGAGGCAGCAAGATGGAACCTGAAGAGAAAAGGAGAGAGAAAGGAATACAAACAGGTGAAAGGGTTAAAGCGGTGGCAAGTGCATGCTAAAAATTGATACCTGCTCCTACCACCATCATTAGCATTCTAGAGGAGGAAAGGACTACCATCAAGAGAAACTCAACTCTTTCTATCAAATGCATCTGCACGCAAAACTCCTCACTTTACATTACATAAGCATACTTTTTATTCATACATCTCATATAAACATACTTCCATTATCAAAATGATGGCCAAGATAATGTCCATATTTAATGAATTCACATTCACTTCTTACTTTATATGCAAGGTGCAGAATTGATAAAAATCAGCACTTTGAGCTCATTTTTAAATGAGACCTGTTGTAAAGAGAGACGTGCAGATTTTCACCTGTGTTTGGAAAGTGTTATTTTAGACAGTGTTGATGGTGAGAAGTCAAACATGTAGACAGGCCTTTGACCTGAAGCTTGACGTGTGAAATTGAGGATAACTCCACACACTGTCCCAAACAACCACCCATGGAGTGATGGATGGGTGGCAATTTGCTATTGTTAGAATCAGGACAGAGAATATGTCTTATGTGTTATCAATACTGTTTCAGCAACATGGCGATTCATCACAATCTCTAGTGTATCACTTTCTGAAACTTAATTTGTATGAAAATTCAAACCACATTAGTTACATTATAGTCATTTTGTAAGTCATCAAAACAACACTGTTCCACTACTATAAACTACACATGATGGTCAAATTGAATCTAAATTTAAGTTAAAACAATTTCCAGGGAAGCCAAATGAGAGCCACAGCTCATTGCTTTGCAGGTTCCAAATGACTCATTGCAATAACATTTTATTAGGTAGATGAAAAGAAGGTGACTGTTATTAATGGTGGTAAGTGACCCTCATTAGAAGAGGCTGAAGAGCTCAGATGGTCATGAAGACCCAGACATGTCATTCAAGCTTGGCTCCAACTCCTTGTCTGACTCGCATATCTGTGGCTTCAAGATACATTATGTATTTTTAGAGGTGCTAGAGAGGTGGGATGGGGGGCCAGTTTGAATTCAAAACAAGACTTTTGCATGCTGTACAAGTCTGCCACCAGAGTCTCTGCAGTTCAGCAAAAGCCATTTCAATGTATCTGAATATCTGCTTAGTGTGGAATGCATTAAGAATACTTTACTGAACGCAAGACTCATTCTTACTTAAAAGCCTCTAACAGAAGCTAAATTTTAAGTAACTCAAAAAGAGTCTTTTGAACTTCTAAAGATATTTCGGTCTGTGTATTCAGGGTCTAAAATGAAATTTCAGTCACATCTGTCAATGGCGAACAAACAGAGAAAATTTACTAGTCATAAATATTTCTTACTAGTCAAGCATTTTTAAAATAATAATAATAATACAATAATTCCAAATAATACTATCAAGTCTGAGTTTTGAGACTGTAGTGTGATACTCTCAAATTAAAGAACAACTGGTTTGCTTCCAGGGACCTGCATACCTGTTATTTCAGTAGTATTTATACGTATTATAGCATGTATATATATTTTGAATTGCCATTTATTTTCATATTTTTCAATGATCATTTTAATTTAAGTTTCAATAATACTGTTATGTGTTTGACGTATATATATATATATATATATATATATATACACTGTATATAAATA